GGTCCCTTCCACCCACCTGTTGGTTCACTTGGCCATCAGCGAAAATGTCCTCCAATGCAATATCAAACTCTCCCAGGTAATCCTTGCCGAACCGATCATGATCCCAGCATATAGCTTCCAATAGCGGTACGCCCATGATGGGCATGTCGAACGAGACGTTCCATTCCGGGTTCAGGGTTTTGAATATGGTCGGCGTCGACTGCCTCGCGTCTCCTAATGTAACCACCAAATACTGTACAACATGTAAGCGGTGTCGAGGTTTGAATTGTCTTCGGAAGGGTGCTCACTGGGTCGCTCGTACCACCTCGATCTTTGGCTGCGAGGTTACGTCCCTAATGAAAACCATTGAAATTAGCCAGAGACTCCATAAGAATAGAAAATGCTACATAATTCGTAATACTTACCCGGATAACTGAAACCTTGAGTAGGAGATGTTTTTCTGATCGCAATGGACTGGTGCTTCTGCTCTGTCCGGGAGTGGACGACGCGCTCCTCGCGGACAAGTGTGAGCTCAACCGTTGGGGTAATGCCAACCGGACCATTGCGGATAGATAAAATAAATGAAAACAAGAAGAGAAGAAGAGAAGAAAGAAATAAGAAAGCGGGAAAAAAAATAAAGTGTTGAGGAGGGGTGGCTTGCCCCCTAGTCAACACAATGTTTAAGAGAGACCCCAGAGACCCCAGAGTTGATCGACGATATCTCCGGATGGTCTTTCGGGTCGATCACGGAATGGATTTACCCGCAAGTTTCTTAAAGGATTTTAATCTGTCCAAAGAGATCTCTCTGAGAATCTGAGAGACTTGAAGGGAAAAGTGGGAGAAACACTGCGAATCGACGTCAAATACTCCACACCGCAAGTTATAGCACACGAAAAAAATGGATGCCTATTGTGTACTTGGAAAGATTGGACATGTCTAGACATGTCATGACATGAGGTATATATTTGAATTCTTTTTAATATGCAGGACGATATGCAAGTACCCCGCATCATATTGAATTCCGACCTTACAATGGAGTATACACATTCTATATACGGAGTAAAGGAAAATTATATCGAATTGATCTACTTGTACGGAGTACTCCTTAAGAGAAAGTCAGTCTTGTCGTCGATCTGTGCGTCCCCAAACCTCATCGGCATTAGCTTTGCCCTTGGTTTCAGGTACATATCGATAGATGAAGCCACCAAACAACCCGGCCATAACCGCAAATACCCAGTATACCTGTCCACGACCACCGAGAATATCATCGAGCACTGGAAAAAATTGTGCCACAACAAACGTTGCGATCCAGTTGGCACCCAGTGCCCAGCTTTGGGCTGCCCCGACAGCCTCGGCCCCAACAAGCTCGGATGCTAGGATAAAGGGGACCGGGCCCAATCCGACCGCAAAACCTGCCACAAAAAGCAAGGCAGCGATCGCCGTTAGGATCTTAGCGTTCATGTAGATACTTATCGCGAGAAGTATAGAGCTGCATCCCATACCGCAGATACTCAGCATCAGACACGACTTTCGGCCAATGCGATCGGGTAATGGAGAACACGCCAGTGTGATCACGAGATTAATCGCAGATATCATCACAGTGAGTAGCGCAGCAGTCGTGGGTAAGATTTTCTGTAATAGAGACACGCTGTACATAACAATACTGTTCATCCCGGTGAGTTGCTGGGCGACCATCACGCCAACTACAGCAATAATAGCCGGGCGGTAATAGGGATCTTTGACAACCTGCATAAACGTGACTACAGGCATATTAGGCGGCCTGTCACCGGATGGAGAGAGCAAGGATTCTTCTTCGCCAGATGCAGGGGCTTCCGAGGCCCTCCAGCTCGCAATTTCCGCTTCAAGGTTGGCATCTCGACCGCGGATCCGCTGCAGGACCCGACGTGCTTGACTAATCTTTTGGTTTTCTGCGAGCCATGAAGGACTTTCTGGTACCAAGAACAGCCCCAAAAGTTCCAGAGCACCAATGATCCCAGCCACGGCAAGTATAAGTCTCCAGCGGCTTGCTTCACTCCAGAAATATCCCAGGGATTGTGTCAACAGAATACCGACATTGGTCATAATCTGGGTGAAAGCCCCAAAGAGGCCTCGAGCACTAGGAGGAGCAACTTCGGAAATGTAGATAGGACCAACCACAATTGCTGCACCAGAGCCAATTCCAGAGAGGAATCTACCAAGGCCCAAGAGGGAAATCGCCGGGGCAAGTGTCTCCGCTACGGGTCCCAGAATAAAAAACACCGTGGTCGCTCGTAATGCAAGTAGACGTCCATATTTGGTGGCGACAGGTCCTGCCAGCAGGGCTCCAAGTAAGCCACCGAGTGTGTAAATCGAAGAGACTAGACCGAATTGCGATGGAGTCATAGGGAAGCATTGCGGTAGACCATGAAAAGAGACGGAAGAATGAATTCCTTTACGTTCGCATGTGATCACAGCTTTGGGGGCATTAAGCTCTGCCTAGGTAATTTACGCATCAGTAATGTTCAGTACACATAGAGGTGCCATCCTACCAGGTGGAAGCCAAATTGAAGCGGACCAAGTGTGACAACAAATACGAGATATATCAGATACGGTGTAACCCTCGACGGGGTTGACACGCCCAAGACCATCGCGGGACAAACTTGAAATACTAGGAGCTTAAGATGACGTTTGCCGATCGCGGAGAGAGCAATGATCTGAGGTTAAGTCAAACGAAAAAAATGTCTGCATGGGTAGTTCAAATGTCACATTGAAGTTAGGCAATAGATGTCACGATTCAGAAACGAAAGAGATAAGAAAGAGTTGAAGCTCCTGCAAGGTTGGCACGGCCGACATGTGACCTGACTAAGCTTTGACTACAGTTCCCTTGGAAGGTTAAGACCAAAATACTTTGAATAAGATCTCTCTACGGAGTAATTCTTTTTGAATCCTTTTCTTATATTCTTATATTCAAAAGAAATCGTGGAGTATCTCTCCACCAATGGAGTGACATCAGCCCATTCTGATCCACAAATGAGTCTGACAAACCCGCCCTCTTCCTCCGGCTCTCTCTCACGAACAAGAGTCGGTAACTTGAAACGGAGTCTCCAGGCTACTGTCGATGGTAATTATATATCTTCCTTCTGATCGTTGGTGTAACTTGTTTCTGTTTCATCATGTTTGGAAAGGGTTTCCCTTTCTTGAATTCTGGAGGATTCTATTCTCGTGGTAACTCTTTCCCTTTGATTCTCTGTGATCTTATTTCTGTGCGAATTTGCAATTGGAAGGGATTCTCGTCGCATTCGATTCTTAATCTGAAATATGCTAACCGGGGGTTTAACAGATGCCATTGAATCAAGAAGACCCGGTGGGTACACCAGCAAAGTTCGGGTCCGAGATCGGTATAATATAGTAGGCTTCATCAGCAGTGGTACATATGGCCGAGTGTACAAGGCTGTTGGCAAAAATGGCAAGAAAGGGGAGTTTGCAATCAAAAAGTAAAAGCCGTCCCCAACATTTTGATTTCTTATTCTAACTTCCTCCAGATTCAAACCTGACAAGGAAGGTGAAACAATCCAGTACACGGGTCTGTCGCAGTCGGCTATCCGTGAGATGGCATTGTGTACTGAACTCTCACATGCCAATGTTGTCCAACTAGAAGAGATCATTCTGGAGGACAAATGTATCTTCATGGTATTCGAATATACAGAGCATGATTTGCTTCAGATCATTCATCATCACACCCAACCCCAACGACATGCGATTCCGGCGACCATGGTCCGGTCTATCATGTTCCAGTTGTTGAATGGATTGCTCTACCTTCATACCAACTGGGTCCTTCACCGTGATTTGAAACCAGCCAACATCCTCGTCACCTCAAGCGGTGCCATTCGTATCGGCGATTTGGGCCTAGCACGTCTGTTCTACAAGCCACTCAACTCCCTGTTCTCGGGCGACAAAGTCGTCGTTACAATCTGGTACCGTGCACCCGAGCTGCTCATGGGGAGCCGGCACTATACTCCTGCCGTCGATATGTGGGCAATAGGATGCATCTTCGCCGAACTACTCTCGCTACGTCCAATCTTTAAAGGCGAAGAAGCCAAAATGGATAGCAAGAAAACTGTCCCCTTTCAACGCAACCAAATGATGAAGATCGTCGAAATCCTCGGTCTTCCCCGCAAAGAATCATGGCCCGGACTAGCATCCATGCCCGAATATTCCCAGCTCCAGTCCCTGGTGCTCCACCGTCAACCTTCACATTTCCATCGCAGCTCGAATCTTGAAGGGTGGTATCAGAGCTGTTTGAAAAACGGCGGATACACGTCCACCTCCAGTGCTGGCACTCCCGGGGCAGATGGATTCGATCTTCTGTCGCGTATGCTTGAATATGACCCGGCAAAGCGGCTAACTGCCGAGCAAGCCCTTGAACATCCATACTTTACCAACGGCGGCCCTATCAGTGGTAACTGCTTCGAGGGTATCGAGGGCAAATACCCACACCGTCGGGTCACCCAAGATGACAATGATATTCGCAGCGGCAGTCTTCCTGGCACCAAACGGAGTGGCTTGCCAGATGATTCGTTGATGAGGGCCTCCAAGCGCCTCAAAGAGTAAGCTTTTTCATTTGTTTGCTGCATATCTGTGTTGATCATATTTTGCGGCGCGTGGACAGGCTGGCCCATGATATCCACCCACTTCATATATTTAATTCGGTGTTAGCGTTACATTAACTAGCGAAATTGCATTATTTACGCAGGGTTTGCTTTCATTGACCCTGGAGGGCTGTAGAACCACTATGTATCTTATATTATGAGTGTGGATTGATTGAACCTTGGACGGGACCTCGGGAGTCATTCCATCTCCGTTAGATAATAATCATTTGAATTGCATATGACGCATCAATTGTACTTAAACCTCCCATCATTGCCCATTTCCCAATCACATATCCGCAAAATATAGTACACGCTGAACAGTCCCCGAAAACCCCCAGATAGCACCCAATGATATAACGCCGAAAGGATGAAAAGAATTGCATAAAAGGATAATCAGTACCCTGCGATCAAGATCAGCTATCTTGCCGGAAAGTCAGACAAGAGGTTCATAGTCACTTACCATTCTGTTCGTGTCGCTTGTCTCCGTCGGTATCGTCCTTGCCGTCACCACTCATGGTAGAAGCGTGATTAGCAGCATCTTTGATGCCCTGCTCATCACCGCGCAGGGCCTCAAAGTAGCCCTTGATGTCTTCCGCACTGACAGCCTGTCCACTCTCGGCGAATGGCTGTAGGAACACCTTGAGTTTGTCACGCAGGTGGTTGTATGCCATTGCGCCCTCGATGGCACGCACCCGATCCATGTTGTTCAGTGCTGCCTCGCCGCGATCGTAAATGCTGCCCGTACCGACACTTGCGGCACCATTAGCCTGGCCATCGTCAGACATGGGAGGCTCATAGGTATCTTCTTCTTCGCGAAGTTGAGGGTGCGGAACAAGCTTGGGGAAGCACTCAGCACAACGGCACAGCTGACCATGAAAATCATCTAAGGCAAAAAGAGAAAATGATTCCATTGGAGTGGACTTGGGAAGTTCGGTGTGCTTGGGGGCGGACGGCTTTGCAGGGGAATCGGTTTCTTCCTCAGTAGGCTCCTCTTCCTTCATGACCTTCGACGGTTGTTCCTCGACAGGAGCGTGTTCTTCTTCTTCTTTAGTTCGCTTGGTAACAGGCTCTCCTTCGGCGGGCTCCTCGACATCTGCCTTGCGCTTTTTTGATTGTTCGGTCTTCTCCAGATCCTTAGGTTCGGTCTTATGAGACTCAGTGGCTGGCACAGGGGGGTTCTCGGTCACATTGATGCCCTTCTTGAGTCCACCTTCCCGGAAAACCGGGGGCAAGAACCCAGGAGTGCCCGCATAGGGCTTGATCCAGGGGTTAGAGTCGACGCATTTGAAGCAGATCAGATGGTCGAAATCATCCTCCGCAGGAAAGCCAGGTGGGGGCAGATCTTCTTCGTCCTCGGCTGAAGCGTCATTGGTAGCATCACCGCCGCCGAGTCCATTGGCCTTAGGGGCGGCGTTGTTCCAATCACGCGACAAGCCGATGAGACACTCCGGGTGCCACCAGTCCTCGCCACATCCTCCTGTCTCGACAGTACCAAGCCCCAGGCACTGGTACATTGTCCCCTTTTCTGAATATGCATCGTACTGTTCGCCACAGCCACAGAACTTATTACGAAAGTTATGGTTGTATGTATTTTTTGCTGCAGCCTCTTGTGAATGAACGCCCTTCTTTCCGGTTGCGGGATCTTCGCGGAGTGTGCAGCATGAGGATGGTGGTAGACGGGTTGTTCCACAGTCGCAGACAAAGTTACGTTTGTTGAAGAGTTCGACTAGTGTGTGTTCGCCATGACAGGATATCGAGCACGAGTAACAGACGCCAGCGGCAGTATAGGATTCTTTGGAGTCGGCAGGTGGGGGGTTACATGTGAGGCACGCAAATAGGACCTGTCGCAACGGTCCAAGGTCGTATGTGCAAGAGTCGAAGGCCTAAAGTCAAATAGGTCAGCTGTGGAAAAAGTCGCGCGCCACCTGCTTTGTCGAGGCACTCACATAAGGAAGAGCCTCACGCGCATCTGCCTCCAGTTGGAGCTGGGACTCAATAAACCTAAATTCAGTTAGTATGAACAAATTTGCTGATGTGGAGGAGAGTATAGGCGAATGCGTCATACTCTTTCGCGGTCTGGGAATTCTGAGAGCCCAAGCTCTCACTCCGAGTATCCTCGGTGAGCTGAGCAACGACCGATTGTGGGGCATCCATTGCTATGGGCTTTGTCTGTATCCTTATCGTAGGAATTGGCAAAGTGCAAGAGTCACAAGTGTCCAGGTGGTGTGTTGGAAACGACGCGACGTGATGGGTCGCGACGTAACTTAAAAGTTTCTGCCGGCAGATTCCGACGACAGCAGAGCGGTCTACATGCATCCCAACATTTCCAACCTGACGATTACAGGAGGCACCGAGTGAGTTTATTTGAGGACTTCAATGTTCCCATGTAGGCAGCTTACGCCCAATATTAAGGCAATTGGTGGTGGAGCCTTAAAATTCTCGAAGATCTGATCTTATTGTGGGTTCATTGGTCGTTGAGACCTGAGCGTATATAAATACGTCTTTGATTCAAGGCATAAAACCGTGAAATAGCAACAGTTGATTGATTTATAGAAATTTCATATATGAATTGATCATTCATATAATCCAGGGCCGATACACGGAGGAGTAAATTTCCCTACATTTGACAGGTCTATCTCGGGCGTAGATTCAATCATTCATGGGCCACCGGCAACCCCAGGCTTGAGTATCTCAACTTCAGACTACATATCTCGCGATAGTATTCAGATCCCTGGCCAGATTACTCCGTATAAAGCGATGAACTCCCAATATTGTCAAAAGAACAGCAGGAGGCACCACCAAGGAAGCTTTTATGAAGTACCTGCGTACGGAGTACTCGGCCATGTATCCGCTGGATACGTCTTGCAGCTGAGCCTATGTTTTGAATGTACAACATAAGAAATTGTGCCAAGATTGCACGCATTTCCGTGTAGTTCAAGGCCAAATTGTGGATATCCGTCTGTTCCACCGCCCCACTTTGGTGATATGGAGTAGACGTTTGACCTCCTAATATACACATCAGTACCTTCTAGCCTTATGTATACTATATATTATTGGACTTTGGACTAGATTTAACCCGTTGTATGTCTCTGTTGACCCAATATTGGTAGTTTCAAGCACATTCAAAACTCCTAACACATAGCCCTAGCCCAATCCAAGAAGGATCCTGTAGGAAAGAGCATCTTTTCTTTTCAAGTCTTCAAACTCACCTAGAAACAAAAACGGGGATGTGTTGAATGGTTAAAGGATATACTTGGTGAGGACTATATAGACTAGATCCTTAATCTGGCTTCTACGTATGCTACCAATCCCAATATATATATGTGTATGATTGGCTAACTATATTCTAGTTATAGGTATAAGTCTATGGGGTTGAAAAGCTCCAATTGTCCCAAGAGACCGGGGTAAACTGCAATAAGAGCCACGAGCGTGGGGTTGACCTGTACCTACTATATGCAGGATAGGATAGTCTAGCTCCAGGTATTCTGTTACTACATATATACTCCAAAATGTATACATGAAAAATTCACTTTCACAACTTCAGCTCTTGCATTTTTTGCTGTATACGTAGTATAAAGCCAACAAGGCATCTAAACAAATCCTATATATGAAAGGACCCCCGAGAAGACCATAATGCCTTTCTATTATGATCAGGACTTTCCAAAGCTATTTCATCCTATCCTCGCTCTACATCCTGCTAGTTCTTACCAAACCAGATACTATTCTCATTTCTCTTTACCTCTTGCTATTCTGATATATAGACTAGAGAGATACTCTTTCAGTCATGGACCAAAAACAGAATTAGTCGACACGAAGCCATTTAGCGAGCTTACATGCGGCAGCCAAGGAGATTACGTCTGCCCTCACTCGCGACAATTGCCGACATGGGCTTATCGGTGGGTATGCTGTGACTCTTGTCGGTGGCACGAGGGCAACCGAAGTACGTTTTCCTACATAGTATTTTTGAAACCCTCAATACAATCACTCAAACTAACCTGAACTAGGATGTTGATCTCCTCGTTGATGCGGACCCGGCCAACGTTCGATAACTGCTTCTTCACGTATCTGGCTTCCAGCTGACCCGTGCCAATAACCTTGTCTTCATATTTGATGGCTGTCCGATCAAAGTTGAGATTCTTCGTGGCGGCCGTACTCAACAGATGAAACTACCTGACGCCAATACCGTTCCTCTGCACTACATCCACGACGAAGAGCTACCAGCCGATGCCCCAATTTAGTACATATCCTTTGACTTTGCATGGGCTTCCAATAACCACCTGATTACAGTCCCTATCGTGCACCCGTCCGTTCTGATTTTCACAAAGATCAAGACATGGTTTGACATTGCTGAGTCTACTCGCCCAAAAAGTATCATGAAGGCCGAGAGTGACTTGAAGGACACTGAGGCAATCTTGGCCTGGCTTGCTTCGAACAATATGCTCGTTGATTTTACAGCCTACCCGGAAAAGCCAAAGGAGAGTTTGCTTCCATGTTTTCAAAAGTTGTGTGAACTACATACTATGTTTCACCCCCTGGTCGAATCTGTGATGGAACCGCAGGACTTTGCTCTTTTCCACAACTAGATAGCTGTGAAATAGTCCGGCAGTGGCGGACGACACGTTCAGCAATGGTCAAATATTTTTCCTCCGTTGAGCTCCAATCCCAGTTTTTCATATCCTGAACTGCTTCGTCCACCCTTTTCTGAAAATCTTCCTCGCTCTCATCGTCTTCAACGTTGCCATCCTTAGTATACAGGGGTGTATCATGCAAAACATAAAAGAATATGAAACCCAGAAGATCATCATGCGCCTGATATCTGCTGCTGTCATCAATAGGGCGGCTTAGAAGATGGTGTATCAATGACAGCATGTAAAGCCGAGGCTTAGGTGTCAGGATCCTCAGCGTGTTGTTAAAGGTAGATGTAACTTCAACAGTGTCCTGGAGAGTCAGGCCGATAAACGACAATGGGTAGAGAAGTCTTCGTTCTGGACCAGTTGGATTTAGACAGTGAATAAATCCTGCTCGCTCCCATTGTCCATATCTCTGAGTGACCTTTCCGGATGGAGGAACACAGGGAATGCCACAGTCCGATAGGATCAGAGATGCAAGTGATAGCAGTTCATCAGGCACCGCCCATTCAACAAGCTAGGACCAGTAAGTCAGTAGAGACGCATGACTACATTGAATGTGATATTTTATATCTTACCACGAGGACCAAAGGGTATCCGCATCTCCACTGTACCTGCGCCCCCCACTCCACAAGTGGAATATTTTTGTCAACTAGAGCCTTTGCAGCTATTCCGGCGATCTCTGTATGGAGTTGTCGCAAGGGTTCTCTTTCCAGGGGTAAAGGATCCGTGTTTTGATCAGAAAATTGACGTAACTCACCGAGTAGGAAGGAAAAGATGGTCGATGTGCATATGTAGTGGAGGAGTGATTGATTGACCGAGACACTCAGGTCGGCTGGTGGGAAAAAAGGAAGTTGTGGGGCGAGTTGACAGGAATTTGAGACTCGGGATTCACTTTGCAAGACAACCTTGATGAGAGTCATGAGTGATCTAGATATCCACGGCTACCTAATCTGTAGAAAAAGAATATGAGGAATCATACTTGTGACAAACTTTCAACCCCAACGATCGACTGGCCAAGTGGTTAAGGCGTCTGTCTTACATTAAATATGTTGGAGTTTCACAGAAGGTCGCAGGTTCGATCCCTGCGTCGATCATTGATTTTTTTTTTGAGATTTCAGTTTTTGTCGTATTCGGTAATATAAGTAAAGTAATGAGATTTTTTATATTATTATCTATTCTTTATTGTCTGTATATTCACAGCATAAATTGTGACTAAAAGAAACTACATAACTACATGATAACTAGTACGAAGGTGTGTGAATGTAGCAAATCGTGGAAGGCCCACCTTCCCAATTGGGGTTTAATTGAAACGCGTCGCGTCCAAGACGCGACTTGCTGCACAGCTAGACTTTGCCGCCCCTTCTCCCTCCCTTCATTCTATAAACCACGCTACCACACATTCAAGAAAAAAACCCCGAAACATACAAACTCCATATCCGTATTCATAATTTCCTGACTATCGCACATTTTTTTTTCTTTAAAATTTGCTAGTTGAAACACCCACACGATGGAGTAAGTGTTCCTCCTGAATTTTCTGCGCATCAAAAACTAATGCACTACAGTCCGCTCCGAGCCAGCGACTCGGCCGCAAACCGTGGCCCGAGGGTCAATGCTCGTAAGAGAGATAGAGAGGATGACATGTCCTCCCCAGCGCCATTGCCTCCTTCCAGTCGTATGTTTCGTTATTTATCCAGACTGCCCCAATTTGAGACTGACAATGTTCATGTGTAGCCACCGCTTTGGGCTCATCCCCTCCCCCTATCCCCTTTGACATGGGAGATGAAGATGAGGATGAGGACAGAGGTCTTGTGCAAGATATTGATGATATTGATGAATTGGCTGAAGACGAGGATGGCATTGACCTGTTCGGTGACAACTTCGAGCGGGATTATCGCGATGCAGCCCAAGATCGCTATGAAAATGAAGGATACATCGACGATGACGAGGACCATGATGAAATCGACGCCGCAACTCGTCGGCAGCTGGATGCTCGCCTGAACCAGAGAGATCGCGAACTGGCACGTCGGCGCCGCATGCCTGCCGCCTTTTTACAAGATGATGATGATATGGAACTGGACCTGTCGCGCCAACCCCGACGACGTAGACACCATTATGATGAAGACCGTGAAGATATCGACATGGCTGACGAGGGCATGGAAGAGCTGTCATTGGAGGAACTGGCGGATGTGAAGGCAGCCAACATTACGGACTGGGTGACCCAGCCCCAGGTCCTTCGCTCCATTTACCGTGAATTCAAGGCCTTCCTGACAGAGTTCATCGACCCTACCGGCCAGTCTGTTTACGGTAACCGAATCAAGACACTGGGTGAGGTGAATTCCGCTTCCCTCGAGGTGTCTTACGCCCACCTAAGTGAGACCAAGGCAGCTCTGTCTTACTTCCTTGCCAACGAGCCTACTGAAGTCCTGAAGGTATTTGACCAGGTTGCACTCGACGTTACTCTATTCCACTACCCACAGTATCATGATATTCACAACGAGATCCACGTCCGCATCACTGATGTGCCGATCATTTACACCCTGCGCCAGCTGCGCCAGTCGCATCTCAACTGCTTGATCCGTGTCAGTGGTGTCGTCACACGTCGAACTGGTGTTTTCCCCCAGTTGAAGTACGTCATGTTCCTCTGCCAGAAGTGTGGTATCACATTGGGTCCGTTCCAGCAGGAAGCTAGTGCGGAAGTGAAGATCTCGTTCTGCCAGAACTGCCAGTCGCGTGGTCCGTTCACTGTCAATTCTGAAAAGACAGTTTACCGCAACTACCAGAAGTTGACTTTGCAGGAGTCGCCCGGCTCCGTTCCCGCAGGCCGTCTGCCGCGGCAGCGTGAGGTCGTTTTGCTTGCCGATCTGATCGACAGTGCCAAACCCGGTGATGAGATTGAGATTACTGGCGTCTATCGGAACAGCTACGATGCCCAACTGAACAACAAAAACGGCTTCCCAGTTTTTGCCACTGTAATTGAGGCCAACCATGTGGTCAAGGCACATGACCAGCTGGCTGGTTTCAACCTGACAGAAGAGGATGAGCGTGAAATCCGCGCTCTCTCCCGGGACCCCGATATTGTGGACAAGATTGTTCGCTCTATGGCGCCCAGTATTTACGGCCACCAGGACGTCAAGACTGCCGTTGCGCTTTCACTCTTTGGTGGTGTTAGCAAGCAGGCACAGGGCAAGATGAACATTCGTGGTGATATCAATGTCCTTCTTCTTGGTGACCCCGGTACTGCCAAGTCCCAGGTGCTCAAGTTCGTTGAGAAGACGGCCCACCGCGCCGTGTTTGCCACTGGTCAGGGTGCTAGTGCCGTCGGTCTCACGGCCAGTGTTCGCCGTGATCCTCTCACCAGCGAATGGACGTTGGAAGGCGGTGCACTTGTGTTGGCTGATCGGGGTGTTTGTCTTATCGATGAGTTCGACAAAATGAACGACCAGGATCGGACATCTATTCACGAAGCCATGGAACAGCAAACCATTTCCATCTCCAAGGCGGGTATTGTGACAACCTTGCAGGCTCGCTGTGCTGTTGTGTCTGCGGCAAACCCCAAGGGTGGTCGGTACAACAGCTCGATTCCCTTCTCGGAGAATGTCGACTTGACGGACCCTATTTTGTCTCGTTTCGATATTCTCTGTGTGGTGCGTGATCTGGTTGACCCTGCCGAAGATGAACGTTTGGCCAATTTCGTGATTGAGTCGCACCACCGTTCCAACCCGGCCCGTCCCCTCCGGAACGAGAAGGGCGACTTGGTTGATACCGACGGCAATCTCATTGATAACGAGGGTTACCGCATCAATAGAGATGGTCAGAGACTGCCTCCATCACAGGAGGAGATCGCCAGACGTGCAGCAGAGAAACAAAGAGTCGAAGAGGAGAAAGAGGGCGAGATCCCCCAGGAGCTCCTGCGGAAGTATATTATGTATGCCCGAGAGCGTTGCCACCCCAAGCTTTATCAGATCGACCAGGACAAGGTTGCCCGTCTCTTCGCAGACATGCGCCGCGAGTCCCTTGCTACCGGAGCGTACCCCATCACAGTAAGTATTCTCCCCAACTTTCCGCTTGACAATTTTCTTACCCTGAACTTCTAGGTTCGTCACCTTGAAGCTATTATGCGTATTGCCGAATCTTTCTGCAAGATGCGCCTCTCCGAGTACTGCTCCTCGCTGGATATTGACCGTGCGATCGCCGTTACTGTGGATTCATTCATTGGCAGCCAAAAAGTCAGCTGCAAGAAGGCACTTTCGCGTGCATTTGCCAAGTATGTTTCTTTCAATCCTTAAATGTATTAGAATCTTGTACTAATTATCTACCTCTCAGATACACACTCTCCAGACCCAAGCCCCAATCCAAGCGACGTGCAGGCATCCCCGTCTCAAACCCCCACCTTCCACGGGCTCAGTCCACCGCGCATTGAACAGCTTTCTAAAAGGATGGCTCGGGGTGTCCCGATTTTATGGTTTCTTTTGTGTCTTATACCATCTTTGCATTTTATTCATGTGGCGTTTCTGATAGGGGTTTCTTGAATTGGGCCATGATACGGTAATGAATGGAAAACCAAATATTTCAATGTTCGAGTTTATAGTAATGTAGCGCATGTGCAAGTTGCACTATCTAACATCTCCCGTAGTACTCCGTACCTCGAAAGCCATGCTGAGTGGAACTAGCTTATCGCCTCGGATGTGGCATTGTAGGTAGGTTATATGATAACTCTTATATATTAGTAGATCTACAGATGTGTGACTAGAATATAAAACCGGTAATAAGCAGTTGGGACATGGCAGTATAAGATGATGTTCCGATACCCGTCAGATATAAACGAACATATCTGGTTTACAATCTGAGAATATAATTGTTTGTATATATGTTGTAAAATGTTTTGTTGAGATTTCCAAGCCGAGGAATGTTCGGTATCTGCCGAGTTCTCCGCATTATTAAATAAATGCCGGTTAGATCTGTGAAGAGAGGCATATTCGGCAAATAGAATCATAGTATCTCAACCCGTCAACCTTCTGTATCGGGAATTGTCTTCAAGGGAACTGTAGTTATGTTCTTGACTTGATAGGGATCCCATATAGTGATCTAAAGATTGAAAGATATCATGTTGTGTACAGTGGACATTCCAATAGATGACATCAATATGGAATGCCAACGTGCCAATGTCATTCCAACTGGTTATTTTTGGTAATTGAGGAATCTTAGAATCTTAGAATCAGAGAATCATAGAATCATCAGGATGTTTCTTGTGTATCAAGTTAGTATGTCAGAACGTGCCAAAGTGGAACCTCGTGGTTTGACCCCCCTGACTATAATTAAGTCCAGTCTGGGGAATCTTCAGAAAGAAAGAAAAAATAATTAAGGAATACATAGTAGCTGCATACATAGTGCATAGCATAGCACATGTTAAAAAACAAAAATAAAGAAGATCGACGATAAAAGAAGAATATCCCCAAGGAGACGATCACTGGACATTTTACGTATGCTCGCCTCTCCCGTGTTCCCCTTGCCCCCCCTCCTTTCTTAACTTCTTTTCTTTCTTTTTTTTTCCCTCTCCCTTTCTCTTTTATATCTTGGGAAATATTGAAATATTGATAGCTTACATTTCCTTGCCCCTGATTATCATTGTTTCAGCAGTACCTCCTGCCACTCTCTTCCGCATTCGTGCGACACCTAACGTGACATCTCATTGAACGCAAACAGCCTCTCCACCCACACCTTGTTTCAGAGGTGAACTATCCATCACAATGAATGCCACTCCAGCGCTTGGGTATGCGCCTGGCGTATCGCTGGCCCCGCAAGGTACGTAACCTGAAGCACCTCTGATGGATCTCATATGTCACCGATAGTTTGAACCCTCCCCCTAACCCTTAAAAATGACACCTTCCCTTGACTTTCTGGTCCAAAAATATATCTTTCTATACCTTTCTCAGAACTGTGACTGATTTGAAGCATCTCTGCGATCAATAGAACACCAAGCCTCTCCAACAGCAGCCAGTTTTGGCTCCAATAACCCTTTCCGGAATCGCGCTCTTTCGCCCTCAGTTGCTGGATCTGTTTCATCAAACCGCCCGGAACGCCCGCGCTCAACAAATCCATTCTTAGACGACACTGAAGCGTTGTCTCCGCAGTCGGCCCCTGGAATGTCGACCGGCGCCAGTATGATCTCTCCGATTGAGAAGACCGATATTTCGAGCAACACTCGGGAACTCTTTGTATGTCTATGAATGTAGAGCATACGTGTTCACATAAGTCTAACCTCTTAATAGGAGTCTCTCTCCCTCAAGCCTGCCTCCCAGTCAAATCGTCCTCCCGTATCGGATGCCACTCAACGCACTTTCTCAAATCGCAACAGACCCCCAAGGGAGCGCTCAGAGCGTCCACCAGGACGATCGGCCCCGAAAATGAAAGATCCGCTCGACATATTCGCTGATCCCCCTACTTTGTCTCAAACCGCCAAGGACAAGGCGCCCCGTCGTCCCCGACGGAACTCGGAGTCTTCGGTAATGGACCGAAGCTCGAAGTTGTTAGATCTTGATGACGACGACAAGCGCCGACGCGAACGACGTCGCGAGCGTGAGGGTCGTAGCAAAGATGGCAAATCGCGGTCGGGCCGCAAAGATCGACGACTGGATATCATTGATAAGTTGGATGTGACGAGTATCTATGGGACTGGAAGTAAGTCGGCTTCTTTTTCCGCACTCTCTTTCCGAGTATACTCATATGCTGACTTGTGTAATAGTGTTCCACCACGATGGTCCGTTCGATGCCTGCAACCCCCACCGCAATCGCCGCGGTGTACGTACCGCGCCAATGCAAGCCTTCCCCAAAGGTTCCACCAACATGGCTCTGGGCGGCACAGGCCCCAACAACTCTAACATCGATCTCAACCTTTTCCATGGCAGGATGGAGGAAGGGCACAATGATTTCTCCACCGCTGCGCGCCGCAATCCCGAAACGGCCGTCATTGATCCAACTGCTCGAGTCGACCCGATCCATGGACCCCAGAGTATGGGATTGGGAACCAGCACTTTCCTCGATGGAGCTCCAGCTAGTCGGTCTGCCATGGCACGCCGCCAGAGCGAGAATGAAGGCACTCCAGCAGCAAATGGTGGCGGGCTTGCGCGAAAGAAGAGTTTGGCCCAGCGACTACGTGGACGAGCTGCTGGACCTGGCCGCATTAATTCTCCAACTGATAACTTCCCCCCACCTCCGCCACAGGTGAGCTCCAGTCATTCTACATCCGCCCGGAGCAACGAAAGAAACCCCTACTTCCAAGAAGAAGATGAATATGAGGAAGAGTGGGACAAGAAGGGGTCGAGTATCGAAGCTCGTATTGGAGGCGGCCGACTTCGATCGTCTAGCAGTCCCAAGCAAACCACTGGATTGGAGCGTAAGACCACCAACGACCGACCCTACGAAGAGTCAAAGCTTAACCCTGGTGGTGGATTTTTGAACCGGATGAAGAGTCTGCGCAAACCGAAGCCGGAAAGACGTACTAGCGATTGAATCACCTAGCAATCATGCGTTGAGTCTGCCTGGAAATATATCGATGTAGCGAGCGGGCCTTTCTCATTCGGATGCACCTCCGGGATGTGTCAATCCCATGATTTCCCTTACCATCTCATCATCTAACTCCTCAATGAGGAGGGATGATTCCACACGTTAATACCCAGCATCGAGCACTGACGAACACACGGTGCTCAACATGGCGTTCATATATTTCGGAATAGAATGCTTCACACTGCTTCTGATTCCAGACTGCCATGAAACACAATGCCCTGGTCTTAAAACATTCAAGACCATTGCTATGATTCGGAGTTTTCCAAGGTTTATTCTCTTCTTGTATCTCAATTCAGCCTTGCTTTCATGAAACATGTATTTTTTTTTACCGATTGCTGTCCCCCATACCAGTAGCTTCGAATAGGATATGATAATTGAAGTGGTTGGCTCTAACACTGTTTACTCCCTGGTCTACCTATTGGTAATAACTAGACAGCCATATCTCAATGGAGATGACATTTTATGACTACGCCACGCCCTTATTGTGAATTCTATAAGATTCTGATAACTATATAGTTATCATGTGTTATCTCATCACCTGTGACCGGTGAATGTTGAAGATATTAAGAAGTAACACTTTGCGTCTATTTATATATATCATCCCCAAGTCTACTTATTATCGAGCTTCTCCCTCCATCTGCAAAGGAAAACCTCGAGAGCAACTTCTTACCATGAACAGCACTATGGATACTGGGGGGATATACCACCAGCATGGGTAGTTGTAATTAACCTCACTGGACGCTGTCGTCTACCGTACCACCCTCACCTTTGAAGCTCCTCTTCTGCCAGTTCAACACTTCTCTACACCACCATGGAGGATCGACCAACCCCGACCAATCCGCGCTTTACTCTCGAACTTGAATTCGTATCATCTCTCGCCAACCCTTACTATCTGTCACACCTGGCAGTCACATATCCCAATCTTCTGGGTATCTCTCGTGCCGACGATGATGATGATTCCACCTCGCCAGATGCTCAGGCATTTGCAGCCTACCTAGCCTACCTCTACTCCTACTGGAAGACACCAGAGTACTCTCAGTTCCTCACGCACCCGGGCCCCACACTACGAGCGCTTCGACTACTCCAGGAGGAAACGTTCCGCCGTGATATTATTCTACCCCAGGTCATTGAAGGTCTAGCAGGGGTCAGTGTCCCTGAACCAGTTCAGACTGAGACCGAGACATCAGATGAAAAACAGGACGGTCAAAATGGAAACACATGATGTGGCTTAAATTCAGAACCTATGTTCGATGCGACCGAGATGTGTGGGATTTCCTGCAAAACATACAAACACACCCCCAGCAAATCCAAGTACATTTGTACATGGGATTTACACCCTAGTGATTTCATTGCCACCGAACCCGACTTTTGAGGCAGTCTGTTTTGAGCGTGGCTCTCGCAATCTCCTGTTTCCCATCTTTCAAGAAAGTATGGGAGATATCAGCGAAATAAGGGTATATCCTCGGTAAATCAGTTTCTCAGCCTGATTCACACTATGAGACACACGAATCGCCCATTCGAATGACCTAGCAGACTTCCAAGGTTAAGGGGAAAGAATAAGGGAGGAAGTTAAAGAACAAAAGAATACAATTCTATTTCTTCTATTAGTGACGACTATGCATGGGTGTAAATGAGATATGGTTAACATAGAGGGAGAAATCCCCGGTGCCTGTCACAGGCACCTGTGACCGAGGGTTAAGGCCGAGGAGGGGAAAGGACCAAGCGTTGGATTCAAATGTTTATATATACTTGAGTAAAATATATGGGTCATTTTATAGTATTATCTGACAACAGTGAATTAGTACTTATCTGTAATATTGAGAAAAACATTCAAAGTTGACTACTATATGAAAGATATAAGCCCTAAGAGACAGGTATGGCAAGAAATAAACCCGAAAATCCCGCCCAACCTTGTTTTTGTTTTTCTCCCCTTTCTCTCTCAACTTCCAGTTCTCACTCTTTTTATAAAAAAGAAAAAACAGGTATCTGTTCGACTCTTTAACCCTGACCCGGATCCCGTACGCGTTCTTCTCCACGCGGATCGGCCCCATCTCTCCCATGGCCCTTAACTAAGTCACCCCTCCCGACTTGTCTCTCTACCCATCTCTTTCGTGGACAACCCAGAACTACATGTGACACTACATTTCCAATGGAATCCGTTCGCCAGTCTTGTCGGCCAAAGCACCAGGTCTTGACCTTAAAATGTTACCCTAAATACCAGAAGGGGGTGGCGGAGGTCCGGCCGAATCCCAGCGAACTCTCATACCTGCTGTACTATACGAGCACGCGCCGCAGCAAGTTGACCAAGGTTGGCGGTTTCTTGGAAAAAAGAGTTGCCCGGGATGTCTGGAGACGCAGAATAGGGTGAGCGCAGATTTGTTCGCGCTGCGGATTCGAGACAACATGGCTGACCGGTCTTATTGCATAGAAATATTCAGGTAGCCCTGCATATCCTGGCTGCACTCATCGAAAAAGTTCCTCGCGACCTTCCCATCTACGCCCGATCCGTCATGACAATAATCGATACCGTTTTGCGATCCAATGACATAAATATGGTGGAGGAATCTATTGTGGCCTTCGAAATGTTCTGCCGGCATCAGGATATTGCGGCTATCGCTGCTGACCAGGGCCTCGCATATCAATACCGAGAAGTCGTGCGAACCTACTCTAGCTTTGCCGACCCGGATTTCACATCCAACTCGAACGCAAGTTTCAGCCCCCAGGTGGCCATCCGATGGAGAAATGCAGGACTGCGAGCCATTAGAAGCGTGGTTAGCTCAGAGACCTTGGCCGCCGACGGAGGAACGTCGCTGAAGCTCTGTTTGCCGGTGATCTTGAAGAACCTCTATTCTGAGGATGAGGATCTTCTTCCGACCCTAAAGGCCAAGCTAAGTGAATCGGACCCGAATGAACGTGAGGTGCCCAAACCCCGCCGAATGAGTGTCAACACAGTGCACACAGTGGATACGGCAGAGGGGGACCCTGAGCTGGCAGCACAGTCAGCCGCTGAGGCGGATCGTAAGGCAGAAATGGACGCTCGGCTCTTGGCCCTGCGCTGTCTCGAGCAAACCATCGTTTCGGGGAGTAACCGGGGCCAGATCCGTGTCACAGTAACGGTCATTCTACAGTTCATCTCAAGCAAGGGCTTCCCACAGAGTGAAAAGCGTGTCCAGATTACCGAGGGCAAAGGTGGCAACTGGGTAACATCTCTGATCGAACTCATTGCGAACTGGTGTCCGGTGCAAGTTCGTTTTATCATCTTGATCACAGCTATGGAGATTCTCCACGATACAAGCCCCAAGGAGGATGCTTTAGAGGCATCATTTACCATTCTCTCTGTGGTGGATTGGCTTCTCAGATCTTCCGTGAACATGATTGGACTTAGTGTCATGGATATCCTCTTTGGACTCATGCACTACGCTTCTGATATACTCTCACCACCAGAGCGTACTGGGTCTGCGGAATCAGAGAAGAAACCAAACCAAGCTGAAATTGTGGTCCCAATCTCTCCCCGGCGACAGGATCTTCTTACGCTACTAGAGCAGTGTATTGGAGATCTCGCAACGCACATCTACTACGGAGACCAAGTTGCAGACATGATGCGGGCTATACTCAGGCGATTCAAGCCTAGTTTTCACCATGAGAGTTCCGCACCATCCCCATTGGCAACCGTTCACGAAACCGGATTGAGACCCGCGGACTCGACGAATTCCGGATCTGAGACAAATGGAGAGAAAATAAACGCAGAAAGCTTCTCGCACGCTGCCGCTAAGCTGACTGCTCTCCGGGCCGTCAAGGCTATCTTGGTTGTGGCCAATTCAAGGACCCCAGAAACCATGTCTGGCGCGGAATTTAGACATCCAGTCGGAATCCATGTATGGGAAGGGACCCAAGTACTTCTTCGTGACGTGGATCGTGATGTTCGCTATGCCTATGCCGATGCATTCCTATCATGGTTGCAAACCGAGACCAATGGAAACGATCTTAAGGTGCGATTAGATTCACCCAAGTACATCAAGACAACCTCCAAGAGAGACCCCGAGCAGACGGATAGGTCAACTCGACGAGGTACCTCGGCCCCTGGCAACCAAAGGGACAAAGTGGCATCGGTGGCACAGTCGAACTTTCTCCGCCTTCTGCACCTGGCTATCTATGATGCTGCACTCGAGCTAGCTGGCGAGGTCTCCGAAATTCTCCTGCTGCATCTACTTCTTGTAAATCTTGTCGAGAATCTTGGGGTGAATGCCGCCCAATTCGGTGTTCCCATGATCATCAAATTGCAAGACGACTTGTTTACATCTATAGAATTGAGTTCCTTCGCAGCTCGCGTTAACATCGGAAGCTTGGTACACGGATACCTTCTTGCGTTGTCTGAGCATTTCGATATGCAGTCTTCCCCCGTGGGTCTTGAGATAAGCAATGAGATCCAAGACCGACAGGGCAAAGGATATTGGCTTTCCAAAATCCGCCTGCCCCCAATCGACCTTTACACCATTGTTTTTGACAGCGAGAAGACCCCTGGCAGTGTTTCCACTACTCTACCCGCTTTCACACCCTTCCGTAATGTCGAGGGACTTGTTTATATGATTGACGAGTCTTACCGCAAATCGATACCTTCTCCTCCACGAAGTCCCTCGACCACTTCCCCAGCACGAGGATTCACATTCCCGGTCCTTGGGCACTCCACAGCAACAGCGAAATCCCAGGTTGAGGGCGGCCTCCCATCCACTGTGAAAGAACAGATGTTGTCTCCGTGGTCTCGTGAGGCATGCTTGGCCGCTGTCGACAAGGAAAGCACCGGAACATCATCGATCAATGGCTCTCGGGCTACGGGAAATGCTCGCAACAACCAAACCAACGGGGCTACGAATGGCTCACCTGCCGGCTCCCAATATCACCGCCGCATGAGCATTCCGGAGATAACAGGCTCGTCATCTCACGGTTCGAGTAGAGGCTCACCTGTCCGCGTCAATGAGCTTCGACGCGTGCTTTCAGTCACTAACGACTCTCATGATCGACGCCTCAGTCCATTGCGTGGACGGCTCGATGCTTCGAACGCCAGTACCATTTCTTCTGGGAGCGAAAGCATGATCAGTGGTAACTTCTCTGTTTCCGAGATAGATGGGGATGCTGCCTCAATCCAACCAGAGAGCCAACAAGCACCCGGTGAAAGTGGAACAGAGACACCCCGCGCTTCGGCCGCGGCGTCTGTCGTTTTAGGGGATAACCCCCAGGCCGACGAATCTCCGAATGAACAATCCACGAATCGTGTTGATTCAGACGCAGAAATCCCTCCCGTCCCACCGATCCCTGTCGGGTTGTCAATCCCAGGCGGTTTCCCGAACGACCCACAGCGTTCGCTGAACTATGATCGCCCATCCACGGCGCCGGGTCCCTCACTAATGTCATTAGTGGGAGACAGGGCTGAAGCTAGTGCCTCAAACAACAAGCCTCTAAATCGCAACAAGAGCCGGTCCAACCATAGTCTTGCCACAGCTGGAACCCCTGAACTCTCGACCGAGTATGAGTCTAATGCCCTGGATGGCAGCCACCAGGATCAACTGAGGAAACTCCTGGATGGATTCCTCTCGCCCGGGGAGACCACGCTGACGAATGGAAACCGCCCGGCAACTGCCAAACCTGCTTCCAAGACTCCGCTGAGCGGATCTCACAGCAGACGACAGGTCAGTGGAGGCCTTGGTCGGCCACCTTATTGATCTTGGCTTGCGCCTTTTCATCATTCTCCAAGCATCTTTGCAGCCATTTCAATCCCCCGGCTCTTCATATGTTTATATAATTTTGTTTCTGCTGTAGCTTCTTTTTATTTCATCCACCTTGCCTTGCCTTGCATGGATCTTGTTTTCGCTCATGTCGAATGCTGAGTTGCTGGCTGGTAAACCCCCAACCTGTTCGACATACACATGTTCTTTCTGATTTGTCGGTTTCCCCCATTCGGTGTCTATCCTTGTCATCTTTTTCTTTTTTTCTTCACTTGCATATTTTATTTGAAAGCTCAGGCACTTGCTTTTTGTCTGTCAGCGCTCACATTTTTTTATTTGTTGGCTTGCGATGGCTAGTCGCAGCGTGGTGTATCTACATAGCTTCAATGTCGGTAGACATAAAATAGACGGGGCTAGAATGAACATAGCAAGAGACATCGTAGTTTTATGCATGTATAACAGCCATATGTGGTATTGTATTGAACTGCGACTTTGATACTAGTATCTAACAGATGAAGCATATATAGTTGGGATATCATATGGAGAAAACGCTGAAGAGTAAAGGGAACGATCAAAGTCCGCGCTGCTGTACAACGAGACCAGGAACTGAAGGACTGGACTCCTCCAGCGGAGCAAAATACTGTTCAAAAGCTTTGCGCAGGGTCTTTGCAGACAGATGCATATGCTGACCAGGGGCAGTATTGAAGTCCAACTTGCCCTGCTCATGTAGCTGCTTCAGCCCCAGCCAATCCTCCTTGTAGATCGGCCTCTCGTGAAGAGGTGTCACCTCGCCAGTAGTGGAATTCACCTCGGAGAAGAAAGCACTCTCCTTAGGAACAGCGACAGTATCCTCCTCAAACATGAACATCGCGAATTTATTCAGCGAGGCTAGGTTCTTCTTGTATGTCTCGTTCTTGACCGCACGCTCGTTGTTGATATCAGCTAGGAAATTGCTGTGCTGGAGGTACAAATCCAGCTCCTCTGGGTCGCGGAAGTACTGTGCCGGCACGACGCGCGACTGTGCAAAGCTCGTCCACCGTCCCGATCGTAGTAGTTCCTCGGCCCCTCTACAGAACCAGTTATCGATGGCGCACGACTCAAACGCCGAGATGCCATTGTGCTGGCTGCCAAATGTGACGAGGTTGTGGACGGGCGGGTTGTTGCATCGCTCGATGTACCCGCGTAGAAACTGACCACCCTGCGAGAAACCTAGCGCGTTGATGGCGGGCGCCGTACTGAGGATCGGGTCCGCGGCGAGCTGTTCGCAGACTAGGGCGATTTGCTCCGTTACGTTGCCGAAGAAGGTTGCAGAGCGATCTCCACTGCCGTCGTCGGCGAGTCGGATGAGGTGCACGTATGTACCAGGGTTGGTGGATTCAGCTAGTTTGGCAACTTGAGTGAGCCCTTCACGTTGGAAGTCATCGCCCAAACCGTGCCAAATCACGAGAGGGAGCTGAGTTCCGCTATCTGCATCTGTGCTGGATTGCCATGGGAGCGCGACCGCAAGAGCGTTGGTGACCAATGTGGTCAAAAGTGTGATAGAACGCATGCCTGAATGATAGAACTTGTCTTTGGGATATCAGGGCCGTTGATAATTGGAGATGAGTTGTGGAGACGGGGAATGACGTTGGTTCGACAGATACCAATCATGTGATGACCGAATGCGGCAATCTAGATCTATACGGACAAAAAATAGAGACATTATATGATATACAGAAGCATGAACAATTATAATATACACATAAAATAGACCAAGCAGCGGATTTCGCTAGATTGACAGATCTTAGTGGTCTCTATTCATACAGTGGACTAAACGTTCCCTTCACCCTCGTGTGGACTTTGGAAAGATCTAATGACTTCAACTCAACATTATACACTGGATAATTAGCCTTCGAAGTCATTTCTAACAGGAAGACGCACTGGTAGCTTAGGTACAATACTTCCAAAAATTAATGGCTAGGTGTTACTTACTGCGTAGCATTTTGTGAGTTACAGACAGGGGTTGTACATAGTAGTTTATTCAAATTTTATACAATAAATTGTGAAGCCTCACTATGTAGGGCTTCTAGTTTACATGATCAGAGTGATAGGGCCTACCTCTACGCAAAAAGTGATAGTCCTCGTTACTTCACTGGAATGTCGACGAACACAGTTTTTGGAATTACAACTATTGGGAGTGCTTGAGCTTTGAGTTGGTGGCTACAAAATATAAGCAGAAAGATCAGGAGGAGACCAGGGATATTCTGTCTAGTACGGGTGATGTTCTTTATGCCTATTGAGAGATAATCGGGAATGATCAAATCCCACGATTTATGTCAGTGTTGAATGGAAAATATGCCTTTGTTCCATTGATGTTACCTTACGGCGATATTCAGTTTTGGGCTGATCTAGAAATCCTGTGAGAAGACTGGCTGTTTATCTTGAAAGCAATAATTGCACCATATAGTTATCCATAAGTCAAAGAATCCTAATCTAATCCCATCAGTCACTGTCATACAGAGCATTAACATAGCTCTTCCATTTCCAAGTCTCGTGCAATCGCTTTAGGCGTCCTCCAATTCTTACCCACAAGCAGAGCGGGATGTAGACCGGTCAAGCAAATGCACGCAATTGAAATCATAGCGCCTTCGAGGATCATCAATGCTATTTCGTCGTTGGCCAATTTACTGTCGAACCCACCCTGGAGCTCGGCCACTCGGAATGAAGATCGAATCAATATAGTTAAAACGGCAGTTGCTAAACCTGATAATGAAACTCGAGTCAGTGGAATGTCTATAGAAAAGGTCAAGGTGATTTACATACCAAGCAAAAACGATCTCCTCATCCAGCTTATCGGCCGTTTCTGAGTATCGGGATACAGGCGTCTTCCTCGTAAAACCCGGACTCCGTACTCAATCGCTAGGATAGAGAATACTACTAGTGATGCAACTTGAAAGACCAGTCCAGCGATCATGATGTTGACACCAGTATCGTGAAGTGACTGTTCATCGGCGATTGAGGTAATGGCTCCACCTGCCGCTTGCAAGATCAGGGAAATCATATCGCAAGTCACGAACAAGTAGGTATAGGTTCTTGGTTTTAAGCGTGAGAACTCTTCGCCGTACACTGCAATGATACGACCGAGGCATAGATAGATTCCAGCTGTGAAGAAGGCAGGGGCAATGGTGAGACATATCAGATACCTAATGTATCACGCCTCGGTCAGCATACAATCAGTTATATGGTAGGCTCGGTAACCCACATCAAGAAAGCATCGAAGCTAAATGGGTTATTATGCAATTGAATTCGGCCCAAATATCCTATGATCTCCAGGATAAGGCCCGCGACCATTGGTACCATGAAACTCCAACATCGAAACACGATACCCGTACCGATCTGTCCAATGAGTATGATTGCGAAAAGAGCGAGATAAAAGATGTTTCCAGCCGTGTTAGGCTGATACTGGATGTAACCAGCACTCAATGGACATGTCTGTAAGGTGCAATCATCCGGATTGGACATGATGACGTTTAGTAAAGGATTTGGAATAAACCTTGAGGAGAATGAGTGTTGTTGAATTGATATCAACACAGCGAATCCATGATAGATTCGTCACTATTTATGTACAGACCCAAAGGTGTTTGGCCGTCTGCCTATATCCATAATCAATGATCATATTGAGGCTGTGTGGATATTTTTAAAACTTCAACTTGAGGTAATCTCCGAAATCCTTCAAAATTATAGTCAAAAACCAATAACCAACGCTGCCATACAGATTGATATGATATAGTGGATCTTCTAGTTAAGCCGTTGCCTGGCGGGTCACCGATGCCAAGACTTTTTGTACTTCGACCGTGTCCTTGTCCTTGTCCGTGTCCGTGTCCGTGTCCTTATCCTCTTCATCTCACTTTCTTGTCCTGTACCTTTCAAAATAGATTGACTATACTCAATTTGGAAAATGACATCTACGTTAGGACACATCAAAACGTGTCAAAATTGTGCTCATGGCAAAATCCGATGTATCCGAACTTCGGATTCTTCTATCTGTGATCGGTAAGTAGTGGAACTCGATCATCATGTTTTATACAACATACTTAGCTATATTCATATGCTAATATAAGGGCTTAGATGTCGCCGCCTTGATAAAGAGTGCTATTTTCGGCCCGCTCGACCTCGTTACAACCCCGCTAAGAAGGGGACGTAAGGCTCCCAAATTCCATTTGGTTCGTGATAGTGAATATAAGCTGACGGAAGCTTAAAAAAACTAGACGAGTCGAGGCACTCGAGGCCAAAGTGGATCAGCTCTTAGCCCGAGTCAATAATCAGCACACTAAACACCATGCTGATGTGCCTTTGGCCCTGTCTGACCCGGAACCTCATTCCATCCCAGATAAACCCCGAGATGTTATTGATCGTGGGATTGTGAAATTTGATGATGCCGTCACGCTTCTTGGATCTTTTCGGGAAACCTTGATGCCGTGTTTTCCATTTGTCTTTATCGCACCGGAAGTGACGCTTGCGCAGCTGCGAGTGGAGAAGCCGTTTCTCTTGCTGGCTATCCTCAAGGTCTCATCATACAAAAATATAGCCGCTCAGCAGAGATTGGAAGAGATATACCAAACAGAAGTTGCTGATCAGATGATCTTCGCCCATAAGCCATCTATGGACGTATTGCTAGGACTTCTTGTGGCTTTGGCATGGTGAGTCTGATTCAAAGTGGTTTATTGAAGACGGCACTACTGACTCAAAGCCTCAATATTCTAGGTCGCAGCATCAGCCCCAGCATGAAAGATTTTCCAGCTATCTGCATCTTGCTTGGAGTATCGTCGGTGATTTGCGGCTTGATCGGTTGTCGGAAACCCATTCATACTATTCACGGACGGCTATGAGCAAGGTTTCCCCAGTTGAAAACAGTAGTAGACATTCGGCGAACGAGAGAAGACGAGCTTTGATTGGTTGTTACGTGCTAACCTCGTGGTCAGTAAAAATGCCCATATCTCCCTTTATTACTGACTAAGTCTGGGTGTATATAGTCGCTCGACAATATTGCAAAAGGATCGCATGATGACTCGACTGTCATATGTTGAAATGCATGCACTTGAATTGCTATCCAATGCTGAAATTGCCAGTGATCGCTGCTTGGTACAATTTGTAAAATTACAACAGATCTTTGAACGGATCGATGACACTGTGATCACTACGGCGAATCCAGTGCGAGAGGTTGATATGCATGCATTCCAAACCGAAATCAACGAACACAGAACGACCTTGCTAGCAAAACCATCGGACAATTGTATGTGACAACACTTGTGGGTTTGATTGCTTAGCCTGAAATTATTGCTAACTCACCGTCCACAATTTAGCCCTCCTACAATTTCAACTACACACTCTACAATTGTTTCTATGCCAGGCTTGCTTATTTGATAAACATGAAACAGCCAACTATTCAGCTTCGTCTGCGCGTCGCTCCCATGCAGATTCAGGGCTCCCACCACATCTCCAAAGTGGCCATCAACCGTTAGAACTATCACCATTCCAGGTTGAATTTCTCAACCGCGGCATGACCGAAGCAAAGAAATTCTTTGATTACTTTTTCACATTTGCTCCGAATACTGATCGGCTGATCAGTCATACCCAATGGCTGCAAACAGGCTTTAACTTGGTTCTAGGCTGCAAACTGGCCGTCACGGGGGCAAAATACGCCCCACGCAGTCCACATGTTCGTGCCCTATGCTCGGCTTTGAATATGCCACACATTTTGCGGACTGTTTTACAACGAATCCAATTACTCAGCAAGGACAGAGTGACTGTAGATGGGAAACAGCACTCTAAATACTTCTACGAGGCATGGCTGTGGCGTATCCTTGAATGGTTCGAGCAAAAGTATCACCTAGTGCCTTCTGAAGATACGACCCAAATACCTACGGAATTATCCGATGGCGGCCTCGGGCCGTCTACTTTGGCCAATAGCGCAACCTCACAAGATATTCCCCTGATGGGAGAAAATTATAGCGCACAAGTGGCACAGGTAGATGGTACTGCCTTATGGCCGGACTTCCTTTGGAACATAAGCACGGATGACATACTCAATGGGTATATGGGGTTTCCGGATATGCTGTATCCCACATTGCAGCCTGGATATGATATGCCACTGCTATGAGAACAAAAGATATCGGTACTTTGCGAAAGCACAACACCAAATCAAGGGGCCAAGAGCTTGGTCCCGCGGTGGCATCATTCTGAGCCAGTTTTGTTGCTTACAGAAATAATCCAAGCTCAATAGGAGCTGATTTGATTTGGTCCTCCTGGATCTCGCGAATCAACGTATCGCTTGGGTAGTCTTCTAGATCTAGATCAATGCATCCGCTGGAAGCCCATTTTCTTCCTGAGACGAATAAGGAATGCCTAATGATACTCCTGTCGCTGGGGATACCTAGCAGGCACTGTGCTGCGTCTTACGCCTGTGCTAACTCTCTCCTAACACTTGAAACATGATTGAACGTCTTATCCGACAGAATGTTTGTTTTCACATACCTTGTGACTTGATCAGTAATTGGGCTTCTTATGATA